CCGCCACGGGTGGCTCGTGAAGACTGAATGAGCTAAGGTAGGCAGAGCCCTGCACTGACTGGTTCCCCTTCAAAAGATCGTGCAGTCACCCCTGTAAGACCAAATTGATTTGTCCCCAATTTATACCTGAGGAAACTGGGGCTCCGACAGGTTAAGCCACTGGCTCAAGGTCACACAAGGGCAAGCAGAAGAGCTGACTCCAGAGCCCAGGCACACTTGGACCACTCCACTCCCCATCCCCGGCAGAGACCCTAGAAGAGTCTGCCCAGAGATCAGACCAACCCCCCAAAGCCCCCAAGTCGAGGTCTGAGCAGCCTGGTCCAACTGAGGCTGGACTCCGGTTATCTGGGGAAGGGGCATCTGCACTCCCGCCTGCCTTGCCGGTGTCCCTTCTGAAAAGCCCCAACATAGTCCCAAGCACATGAGGAGGGAAAAGGGACTTGTCCACACCCATACCTAGAGGTCGGCACAGGTCCAGCCGGAGCGGGTGCTTGGTGTCCCGGAGCGGTGGCAGTGGATAGAGGGGAGAGCGCTGAGACCAGAGTCAAGGGCACGGCCGGCCGCCCTGTGAGGGGCGTGCACTTCCCACTTCTTTCTGCTTGCGGGGCACCGACTTCATGCCAGTTTCTCGCTGCCAAGGTTCCGAGAGGCGAGACGCACAGATGCGAGACCGGAGAGGCTCAGATAGGTGAAGACCTTTGTCCAAGGTCACACAGATCTGCCTGATTCCCGAGACCTCGCTGCCACCGTGTTCCCTAGAGACCCCGTCCTGTCCCGGGTCCCTGTGGTGCTGGGCACAGTGCCCTCCTCACCCCCTGCTCAGAGGGCGGTGGTGGATGAAGCCGGGGCTCCGGGCTCCGCTCCTCTGCTGAGTGGGGACTCAAGCCGTAGGGCTTTGCGGTAGGGCTGCAGGCACTGGGAAATGGAACCATTCCTCCCTTGTTTATCACCACCACAGTCCCCACTCCAGGCTGGGGACGGGAGAAGGGCACCTCGACTCTGGCGGGGGGGGGGGGGGGTTGCTCTGAGCCATACCCTGCGCTGAAAGCTCACCGCCCATCCTTTGTCCCACATATCTGAGTAGGTCCCCTCCTCCCTTCTCTCCCTCCTGCCTCTCTGCCAGAGGTGCACCAGACTCCGTGCTCTTTAAGGGGAACACTTGATCAGTTTTTTTTTTCCTACTACAAAATAGCATGTGGACACCATAGAAAGACTTAGAATTCAAAAATGAAAACCAAAAGGCAAAGTTAAAACTTACCCACAATCACTTTCTCTTTCTTTTGTGGTTCACTAACGTTCTACATTTTCAGAACTGTTTTTTCGGGAGCAGGAAAGGCAGCAAGGGTTTCGTGAAAACCCTCATAGCCCCACCACCCAAAGATAAGCACCTGGAGAAATGGCCTCCCGGCCCTTTGTCCGTGTGGATGGACAGAGAGACGGATGGATCAAAATGTAGATCGTTGGCTTTCTTACAAAAAGGAGTTATACTTTTCCTACAGTCATTGGAGCTGTTTTGCCTGCTTGGCAACTAACGGGTCACAAGCGCCTCTCCCGAAGAATAGACGGAGACGCGCATCAGCTGAGGGCTCACCGTATGACTGTTCCGTCCTGCTTCTGATAATCCCCAACTGTTGGACACACGGGGCAGTTCGAATGTCTCATCAGGGCAAGTCATGCCAGGATACGCTCCAGGAGGAAGGGCCCAGTCTGTCTTGCCCACTGTAGCATCCCAGCGCCTGGCACCCGGCTTGGGAGCCGAGAAGCCTCCAGCGACGTTTGCCAAGTGAGTGAACCGACGCGAGCTCAGCCCCGACCTGGGCCTCTCCGGCCCCATCTGGCCCCACGAGGTCGCCGGGTCCTCAGCTGCAGCTGTCTTCAGGTTTCCCAAGGCTTCCCTCTCTCCTTTCTTTCTCGACCACCCAGACCACACCCTCCTTTCTCTCTCCTCCACGCTCTCTCTCTCCACACTTCTGCCTCGGCCCCAGGGCCCTCAAAACTGTTCTGAGGTCCCCATACCAGCCATCTGGCCTCCCTGCATCCCAGCCTCCTCTCTCCCCGCCAGACTCTCCCGGCAGCCGTGGCCCATTTCCGCACCGACGCCATCCCTCCACGGGGAAGGCTCGGACTCGTGGCAGCCGTTCCCAGATGCGTCCCAGGCCCCACAGCGTGCGGCACCCCCCTAGGGGTGCCAGGAGACAGGCCGGACATGCCAGGAACAGCGACGGTGAGTGCCGTGTGTAGGGGTAGGCCTCAGCCCCCATCAAGGAACCCCACGTAAAGAGAAGCTGTGTCTGCAAACAGTCCCTTATCACCCCACCTTCCAATTAAGTGGCTGCGCCTCTAACGTCCCCCCACCTAAAGATCTGGGGCTGCCACCGCCATACATGTAGCCCCCACAGCCAGGGTGGGCTGAGTGCTCAGAGCGGGGACAGGCAGGTGGCCATGGGAGATGCAGGGGCCAGGAAAGGGCTCTCAAAGGAAGTTCGGCCTCAGCTGAGCTCTGAAGGATGACCACGGATTCCCAGCGGGGAATGGGGTTCTGGGAAGAGCGCCAGATCCTACTGTTCGGTGGTCCAGGGAGTCTGAGGGACAGAAAGGAGGCCAGAGCAGCTGGAACCCACAGAGCACGGAAGGAAGGGAGCTTGGGGGCTGGAGCACTGCCGGCAGGGCCCCGGAACAAGGGCTCCTGGAAGTCCCTGCAGCCCAGGCTCCCCCACCCCACTGGGACCTGGGTCTCAGCAGCCCTGCCAGGCTCGCCACCAGCCAGGTCCAGATGTCTACCCTACAGAGCTCCTCAAACTCAGCCCCCACAGCTGAGCATACCCACACCCACCCCAGCGGCGGTCCCCTGGGCCACTGAGAACTCATCCCTCTCCCTTGCCACCAGGTCTTACCTGGATCTCCCCCTTCCCAGCCCAGGGCCTCTCTCTGCCCTGCAGACGGCCTCCCACATTTCTGACCTGGGCCGAGTCCCCAGCCCCATCACTGGCACCAGCTTCTGACCAGCACCCAGATAGCTGTCAGTTCTTCCTAAAACCCAATCTGGCTCTGTCTCTTCTCTGTCTCTGTCTCTCTGACACACACACACACACACACACACACACAC